TATTCCACTAAAGAGATCGAGAAAGTCCAGGGAAATTAATAAATTCCAAAATTCGACAACTTTTTTGGAAAAATTGTACAAAATTCCCTCAAAATTTGAATATTCGCCTCATTTCTTCGAAAACAATATATAATCGCCCCATGACACATCTGTTGTATTGCAACAATTGTCAGATTTTTATTAATTTTTATTTATTATCGATAATTAATTTATTAATTTGATTCGGAAACATTAAATGTAATAAATGTGATTAATACAGTTATTCTTCCGAGCGTTTTAGGTTTTGAAATGAGTTCTATTATATTTTTGCGCTTGTAACAATTCAAATTTTCAAAATTCTTGTCCAAAAAATCTTTTTTAAGAAAATATTTTTTCAACATTCATTTTTTTAAAAAAAATTTTTTTTCGAAATAATTTTACTCACGAGTGAAATTTTTCCAAATAAAATTCTTTTTCGAATATAATTGTTTAAGATTCAGGATTTTTTACGAGTAAAATTTTTTCCAAATAAGATTCTTTCCCCAACAGAGTTAATTTGGAGTCTGAATTTTTTTACTAGTAAGATTTTCCCCAAATAAGATTTTTTTTTTTCGAATATAGCTTATTTAGATTCAAATTTTTTTACGAGTAAAATTTTTTGCAAATACAATTCTTTTTTTGAATATAATTAATTTAGAGCTAGAACTTTTTTTACGAGTAAAATTTTTTCAAATGATTTTTTTTTTTGAGTATAATTAGCTTGCTGTCAAAAATTTTTTTTCACAAGATCTTTGTAAACATGATTTTTTTTTAAATATAGTTATTTTAGAATTGGAATTTTTTTCGTAAGATTTTTTCCAAATAAGATTCATTTTCGAATACAGCTGATTTAGAGCCGGAATTTTTTCTGTAAGTAAAATTTTTTCCACTTTTTTGAATATAATTTTTTCCACTTCTTTTTCGACTTTTTTTTAAAAAATATAGCTTGTTTGAGAATATTTGTAGGATTGAAGATGGATATTTGTCTATTGCTAGTGGTGTCGATTATCCAATCCGGAAGCAGGTGGGGTCCCTGGGGCAGGGAGGGGGGAGGAAGCGGTGCACCGCGGTGGGGCTGGGAGTTAAATTTGCACAGAATTTAGCTGTTGGTGCGAAGTGTGGCGAGGTTCGGTGCTGCTGCTACCTTGAGAAGGAGTTCCACGATCGAGCGGGCCACATCGAGCATTGTCGTGCCCTGGTACGTCCGTTGCGCCATTGAGGCGCTCGAATCAATCAGGAACACCACAATTGTCATCGTCGTTGTTGCTGCAGTCGCTGTCGCCGCTGCTGCTTCTGCTGCTGTTGCTGCTGCCCGTTACCACACATTTTGCGCTCACGCGCGCACACACCACTTCACTTCTGCGCGTTTTCAGGAACAAATCCCTGCCGCTGCTACTGCTGCTGCTTCTGGACCAAAAGCCCGCTGCACTGCTGCTGCT